GGGGGGGGGTTGGGCCCGGGATCCTCAGGGGTATGAAGAACCTCGATTGGATCATCGAACCCCTACCTCTCTTCTGCCGTAGTCCAGGTAGCACGTAGTGCTTCTTCTCGCTGTGACAAGATTTACCATTAATGTCGAAGGTGTCATAGAACTCGGCGTGACGGTTCTTTCAACGTTCCATGTTCCACCATTCCACTCGGCAACGAACGTCTTACAGAAGTATCTTTTGTCATGCATTCACTGTGTCATATCCCACGATTGTAGTCCTCTTGCGGCATGAACATTTCCAGGCAGACAGTGTGGAGAGCGGGTTTTTTTCTCACGTGTTTTCTTTGTTCGCAATCCGGGGGGTGGGCGAGATTTCAGCTTCACTCAGGCCTGGGTTGTTGTGGGACAGGTGTTATTTTCAATCTTCTCTGACTTGATAATTGACAATTGACCTTTACTCACGAAGGCCTGCATTCCAGAAAAAAATCCAGCCAAGCCCAAAGAAATGGTCATCAAAGGCATATCAAGGAGCGCCGTCACGGCATCGACACCGCCCTGGCTGCCCAGAGTTCCGAGAAAGATCAGCGGTTGCTTGAGGCGCATGGTTGAGGGAACATGGAGACAGCTGGGGGCATGACGATGCAGATTGGGCAGGGCCTCATTGGCTGCGAAATTAAACGGTCAAAACTGTCAATCCTCATTTGTTTGCAGATTGCCCGCTGGCGGAGCAACAGGCCCAACGGCAGCTCACCTTGGAGTTGCGGCAGATCGAGTCCCAGGAGCGCAGCAACCAGGAGCACCTGCTGCCTCGGCTGTCACTGAATCTCACGCTTTTTGGCCGCCTGTCTGGATGTCTTGTAATTGTAGTTTTGCGATGCTCGGCCTGTGGTTTTGGCTCTGCAGTGGCTCGCACAATGACGCGGCCCTTCGTTTGTTGCCCAGTTACATGGACAGACCAGGGTCCAAAGGGTACAAAGGCTGCTCCTTTGCATGAAGTCTTTTGATGCCTTCGCGAGACCGGTACAAGAGTTCCAAGTGAAGACGGCAGTGGGAGGTTACATCTCCATCGGATCTATCTGCTTAGTAGCTGCGCTTTTCCTTTCTGAGCTGCGCTACTTCTTGATGCTGGAGACAAAGGATGAAATGCTAATTGACCAGAGCCAGGAGCGCAAGTATTTGAACATGTCCTTGGATGTTACCTTTTCTTCCTTGCCGTGCTCGGTGTTGGGTGTAAATCTTCTGGACCCTAAGCAGAACAACGTAATGCATGTCGCACATGAAATCTTCAAGGAGCGGTTGACATCAACAGGAGAAGTGATTGGCAAGCCCATCCGCGACGGTCTCCAAAACGTGGCCATGACGCCTGCAGACTTGGCGACGGTCTTCCGAGACCAGCAAGTCAAAGCGAATCACTCTTCCACACGCTCCCGGTGTCCGTCTTGCTTTCAGAGCCTATTCGATGAGGATTCCTGCTGCAATTCCTGCAAAGAGGTTCGGGAGGCTTTTCTGAATCATGGATGGGACGACCGACCCGATGACTACGTATTTTCTCAGTGCATAGATGAGGCATACCAGCGGACAGCTGCACAGATAGGTGAAGGCTGCCATGTGAAGGCACACCTGCACATGCGCAAAGTCCCTGCCACGCTGCACATCGGCATAAGCCAACACATAAGACGAGATTTGGTACGTGCGACCAGTGTGGCAGAGCTGACAGTTGGTGCCGATTTCACTCACCACATCCACAGTCTTTCCTTCGGCCCAGACTTTCCAGGCCTGGTTCGGGTTCTCGACGGCAGACAGAAGTCGAGCCATCAGCCACCTTTGTCCGAGCACTATCAGTACGATGTCCATGTCATACCGACTCGATACCTCGAGGATGGGTCTGACGAGATTGCCGGGCACCAGTATAGTGTCACGGAGTATGTGAAAGCTGTCGATGCGACACATCCTGGTCACGAAGTTGCGACAACAGGGATTTGGATGAGCTATGATTTCACCCCCTTTGAGGTTCGTGTTACCAGCAGCCGGAAGAGCTTGTTCCATTTCTTCACAGAGTGTTGTGCTATCCTTGGGGGCATTTTTGCACCCTGACCCAACATGATTTGCCAAATGCAGGTTGGTGCAGCAGCTTAGGTGACGCAATATCGGGTAGGCATGTATCTATCGTTCATGTGTGCGGCACTTGGCTACCGAGGCATTCTCGGGAATGTTGGACGGGTTTGCCCATCAGATCCACAAGTCGCTCGAGAATGGATCGCGGCGGGGTGTGTTGGAATGAGTGAACAGTGAGCATCCAGCTGGCAACTTTGGAGCCACCAGTGCTTGAGCCATTTCTAGGTGTCAGGCTGCCCGATTTTGCACCCGATCTGGCATTATACAGCTTCTGAAAGAAACCTGTTCTGATTCTGCTTGTGAGAAGGCAGCATCGAAACCTGCTGCTGCAGTAGGTACGTTCAGAGGAGAAATGGTTTCGCTTACCCGCTTTTTCCGTGCAATGGGGATGTTCCTAAAGACCGTATCTTGACCTTCTGCCGTTGTGGAAAGACATACAGGAGCAATTGACTTGAGCCACAACCCAAGGAAGTAGAGTTGCCCGGTAGCCGGTAGCATTGCAATTTCCATTGCGCGATTATGCTAATTGGCAGTTTAGATTGCAGCTTGCTGGGAACCCAAACGAACAACTGTTAAGAAAAGGACGGAGAGGGAAGGCCAGAGGCTCTCAAGACCGAAGAAGTAGCGGTGGCCGAGCGATCGATCGAAAGAGGGCAATGCAGCCGACGCAGTCGCCTGGAAAACGGGCGAAACGAAAGGCAAAAGCTAGACAAGCAGACGGAGGTCCGAGCCGGATCATGTGGCCTGATGTCGTGGCTGTGAACTCGCGTACTCGAATTGCCGGGACGATACTGTAGAGCGCTTGTCAGATTCTGCATACGTCTTCGGCTGCTAGGGATGTGCCTCAAGCACTCAGGCACGCTGGGGCCCTCAGGTTCATGGCTAAACTTGCAATCCTGTGGTGAGGAGGCATTGAGGCAGGAAGTACGCAAAGCTCGTCAGCGACTTGTCGGGTCCTCATTTGCTTCCCGAGTTTCAGGAAACGGATGTCGTTGGTTCCTGAATTTCCACCCCCCGTTGGGCTGTCGTTTGTTTAAGGCCCAGGCAGCTGCGTGCGCAAAGCAGCAGCTCGATCTTCGGCTCGCGAAGGTGGGCTTCGTTTGATTTTGGATGCCTTCGCCGAGTGGAAGGCACGTTGTTTCGAAACCTTTGCAGGTTCGCACGGACTGCCGTGAGATGCTTCGCTCTACGGCGATGCAATGGGAACGGGCTGTCATCCGGGAGCGACAGGCATTGCAGGACGCGAGAGAGAGGGGGAGAGCCGACCAGAAAGGAAAACAAAGTGAGGGGCCCGTGTTTCCGAAAAATCTTGACAATCCCCCAAACCCTGTGGAAGGAGATCGAGAGAGAGAGAGAGACAGAGAGAGAGAGAGAGAGCTCAAGCATTTTGGCTCAGGCCGCGAGCGGTTCAAGCCCGTGGGGGGCCCTCCGTGAGCCTCCTCTCTCCAACTTCGTCTTAGCCCCCCACAGGACAACCAACTTCTCCCTTCCGCTCCGCCTTTTTTTCTCTCAGTTCTCTTCCGACGCATTGCTGCAGGGGGAGTACGGCCTGTGTGCGCAGTTCACCTAGCAGGTTGACCTCCGCGAGTACGGTGCCATCGGAGCAGTACGGTGACCGCAGCCGGCCTGTTCCTTGGGGAGTTTGTCCACCACTGCTCGGGGAAAATCGGCGACACTTCGCATCATCCTGCTCCAGGGAGTGATTCCTGACTACCTGTACTGGTCATACAGTTTGTTAGCGGTGTGCATCGTGATACTACCCCGAGAACACCAGGAGTAAAATCCTTGCCTACATGATGCAGGACAAGGGGGGAAAACCCCCGGTGTGCCAGAGATGTCGCAAAGGACCAAGCTGCCACGCAGTACATCAAAGGCAGGACCCCGACTGCCTGTTACACGGATGCACTAGTCAAAGCAAGAAAGACATCCAAGAGTTCATCAAGAAAAGGCAAATCGATCAAGCAGTGCGTCAAGCACTTGAAAGCTCACAAAAGGCCTCAGTTGACCCTACTGCCAAGGGGATTGCCTCTACAGCTCCGACGAGTTCTACTACCAGAACGTCCCCCCCTCCCCCCCCTCTCCCCCCCCCACTGAGGCGAAGCAACGTGGTCAACACCGTCCCCCCCCCCTCCCCCCACTAAGGCGAAGCAACGTGGTCAACACCGCAGCCGGACCAGGGCCAAGAGGGAACGTGAAGGCTCCCTTAGTGACGATCTGGACGGCGAGGATGTTTCCGAGGCCCTCGTCTTGGACCCCCTCCAGGAGCTCTTTGGCATCCGGTCCAGTACAGGGGAGTCTGCCCCCAGAGATGAAAAGCGCAAGCAACGTACCCCAGTGAGGTACTTTGCGAGCCCGCCAGCCGAACTCACGTTGACCTCGACTTCTACGGCATCCAGGGGGACTACCTCGTTACCCGAACCGCCTGCCAACAAGATGACCGGTGGCCCTCCAGAAGGGGGACGGAGCATACTTTTTCGTTGCGGAACCCTTGGTGATCATCCTGGCTTCTTGGGGGAGATCAATGGTGGCCCCTCTTCGGGGTGTGGCCCTCTAGTAGGGGGACGGAGCATACTTTTTCGTGGCGGAACCCTTGGCGATCATCCTGGCTTCTTGGGGGAGATCAATGGCAAGCTCCAGCAGCCTCAGTGGAGGCAGGGAAGGGGGGAGAGCAGGCCTCATGATGGGGGAGAAGGCTGCTATAAGCATATGATCTCCGCGGGCAGCGTCAGCAGCCCCATGAGTATTGCGGACTTGCGAAAAAAGGGGGAAGCGTCAACGGCTCAAGCCGCCGAGCCTGCTGCAACGGGGGACTACACCACCGCCAAGAACTCACAGAGACCTCTGTCCCAGTATGTTAGGCTTGAGACAAAGGAGGGGATGGCGCTTCTTTTCCACCCAAGCCCTTTGGACAAGTGGATTGGGAAGAACTACAAGTGGGACAGCAAGCACCAGCACCACGTCGACCCCAGCACGGGGGGATATTGTCGCCAGAGGAGAGCGAAGACTACCGCCGCTATCTCCAACGATAAAAGGAGAGAAAGCAAACGGGGATCAAGCCGACAAGCTGGTCAAGTTGGTTGGCAAGTGCAACCCGGCGGTGGAAGAAGAGCTCAGAATCTACATGTACAGATTCCCGGGGGAGATTCGCACCTTGCTTGCCCGTGGAAAGCAAGTCTATAAAGAAGTCCTGGCGAACCAGCGGCACGGGGGAACACAGGACACCCGGACTGCCGAGCTGCGCCGCGACAAAAAGGACAAAGCCAAGAAGGACAAGGACAGGAAGAAGCAGAAGGGCAAGAAGGAGGAGCAGGAGGGGAAGAAGAAAAAGAAGCAAAAGAAGTCAGCAAAGGAGGGCAAGCAATACACTGTGGATGCGGGGGATTCCAACAAGACCCATAAGACCGAGGACGTGCAGCACCACAACACAGCGAACCCAAGCCCTGAAGAAATGGACGTGGGGGACCCCAACAAGACCCACAAGACCGAGGACGTGCAGAACCACACCGCAGCGAGCTCAAGCCCTGGAGAAGTAGATTGGGGGGATGAAGATGACGAGATCGAGCTGGACACCGTGCAAAATGCAGCCACAAACCTTGGGGGATGCGACAGTGACAGTGAGGACGCTCCCATCGCGGCATCGGAGCAGGTACACCTCAATTGGCCGTGGGGGGAGCATGGACGACCTTCGGACAGAGCAACTTCGAGTACAGGGGGGGCACGTCGACCTCGCACACCGAATCGTAGCCCTCGCCAAAAGAAAATCACGCTACAACCTGGTCCCATGTGGCAAGCGGTGCAGCAAGCGCAAAGGTACATGCGGGGGAACACACGATGACCGAGAAGAAGCAGTGCAACAGTGAGAGACACGTGGAAAATTCGAGGGAGTGCTGAGCATGATGCTTGTGGAGGCAGGTTTAACTTTTGGCATCTTTTGGCAAGTTTCTCTGTGCGAAGCCCACACAAACGCTTGTCTCATACCCAAGAAATATCTTTCTTTGCAGCCGGGGGGTTCATGCATTTTCAGTTCTGCGTACTCTACATGTTTGAGCTAGCGCATGGATTACTGTCGTGCGTTTCTGCTGTTTTCGGGGTTTGCTCTTCCGGTCT